GTTATTCATAAAATAAAAATATAATAAAACGATTAATTTATATATCCTACTAATATTATTATTGCGAAATTTTGTGAGTGTGTGTGTATGTTTGTTACTTCTTCACGCTTAAACGGCTGAACAGATTTTGAAAAAATTTTGTATACAGAAAGCTGACGTCCAGGAATAACATATAGACTACTTTACATCCCGAAAATCCCGGAAATCCGCGGGTAACACCACGGGACGCAGCTAATATGTATATATGACTGAGCTATTAACTATGAATAGTCAAACTTCTCATCATTCAATATACAGGGTGACTGGTGAATTACTATCAATATTTAAGGAGCATACTCGGTACATGATTCTCATTCGAATTATGTAAAAAAAATAGGTACTTAATTTTTGACCAAATTTCCGTATAAATAAATAAAGTGTTGACACGTTCCAAGTGTTCCAAGTGTGGACGCGTGCGGCAGGGTGCTGATACAACACCACACCGCCGCACGCGTGTGTGTGTGTGTATACCTAATCTGTAGGGTGTTCACACGATGCGTAATTAATTACATAACTTTTAGTTAACTTTACTTCGAAGTTTATTAATATTTATGTTATATTAATTTTTATTTTGTCATATATGATCGTCAAATATCACGTCAAGTATCGATAGTAATTCACCAGTCACCCTGTATTCACGGTGCGTGTGTCGGGTCCATCGTTGTAGTGAGAGGAGCTTCAACAGTAACTGGGACTTGTGACCCAGGTGTAGGTTTAAGGGACACATTATCTAACGCACCAACACTATTATTTGCGAAGATTTATCAATGAAAAATTCTAACTCTTCGTATCTAGACGTAATTGCAATTTAAACAAAGCATGCTGAGTATTCATTTAAATGAAACTAATATTTATTTATTTTCATGATACAACATTCACATCTCGTCTTAATGGTCACGGTTGTAAAGTAACCGAAACGTCGGGAGTATGTAGTTAATAATAATAAAATACGTGTAGTAATACGAAAAATATTAGTTAATTTTAAAGTATGCTCAGCTTAATATTGTAATTGCAACAAAAAGAAGAATTTGGAAACAATTATGATTAAAATAAAACATTTTTGTTACATGTAACTTCTAATTATGTTTTCAGCTGTCAAAGTGTACATGTCTGTTTTGACATTTGACAGTAGTAATTTCTAATACCTAAATATAAAGATTAACAAAAATCTTTTTTTTCATTCTAACCTAGATAAATCCTCAATAGTGACTGAGTTTTAATGAACAAAAAGTTCTTATAAGTAAGTATTCCCAAAATAACAATGATTTTTATGGAACTGATTAAAATGTACGCTTTTTAACTAGATGGACCATATTTCTATCAATTTTATTCAATACAATGCGTTCAAATTAATTATTTTAAACTTAATTACACTTTAAATAATTTGAAATAAAAAAAATATCTTGTATATTATAAATTATGAATTTATAACAATTGGTTCTTCTGTAAAAAGAATAAAAGTCACAATACGGAAGTTTAAATTAATTCATTTGGCATTTATCAAACTTTTTCTTCTTAATTATGGTACATAAAGTTGAAATACATTTTCACTTCTATATATAAGAAATAATTTACATTTAAATCTTTTTAAATTAACTAAATGAAACTAATATTTCGGATTTACTACGCTTGCTTTATTTTTGATTATAAACTACATACTCCCGATTTTTCGGTTACTTTTCATAAACTGTGATCATTAAGACGAGATGTGAATGTCTGTCAGTTGGTCTTGTTATTTAATACCTATAGGTTTTTAAACTATCGTATGAAAATTAATTTCTAATTACAACTTTTAAACCATCCTTTTTTTTCTACATTCACTTTACTAGATTTCTCAGTAGTATTTCAGTAACTTCAATTTAACTGTTATTTTCTACTACAGTTTTATAAAAACTATTAAACTGAGAGTTAAAACGTTTATTATAACCACTTTTTCTAAGTATATATGAAGTTAAAATTATACAAAAAAAGCAAAAGTGACAGTAAATAGACGTATTTTTTAAAATGACATGTCATCTGTCATTGAGAATAAACAAAAAATAAATATTTGACAGAATATTAATTTAATTATTTAAAGACTAGCTGACCCGGCAGACTTCGTACTGCCTCAATCAAGAAATAAATTATGTCTTATTTATTTTTTTGGTGTTTACCTTTAAGCCATAAATCTCCGTGTTTTGAAGTGCGACAGAATGATTGACATATTAGTTAGTTGTCAAATCTAATGTCAAAAAAAAACGTTTGTATGGGAAATAGAAAAGGGCTGTTTTTATGGTTTTCCCAGTAATGAATCAATTTTTTTCAGCTTTTATACCTTCCCTGAATCTCCACGAACATTTCAAGACTAAGATAAGATAAATCCGTTCAGTCGTTCTCGAGTTTTAGTGAGACTAACGAACAGCAATTCATTTTTATACATATAGATACCTAAATTTAAGTTATAATTTAATATTAATTTACGAATAATGAAACTAATATTCTTAGGAATATTCATTTAAATATTACTAATATTATTCATCTATATACTACGCGTATTTTTTTATGTCAACTACATACTCCCGACCTTTCGGTTACTTTTCATCAACCGTGATCATTAAGACGAGATGTGAGTGTCTGTCAGATATTCAAATTCTTCTCTCTACAAAAATAAAGCACGCGTCAAAAAAATATTAATTTCATTTTAATTTACGGATAAATTTAAAATGTATAATTGAATAATCAAACATAGGGAAGTTCTAGTCTATTAATAAACATAGCATCGATTGCGTAAACTCACAACCCACAAACCCCCAAAATCCCACCACCAATCCCCCAACCCCTTACCAATGACGCAATTTGAATGTACAGGAAATAGCGAAAAACTGGACTTACGATGTTTTGCAAACTATTGCTTGTACATATTTAATTCTTTGTATATACATAATGTAATAATTTTCATTATTTTTTATAATTTTATGTATCTTTATAGCCAAATACTTTTTTTAATTACCAAAATAAAAATAAAAAAATATTACCGGCCTATCTTTTGTTCCGATACGTTTAATGTATGTACATATAATGGGAATAATAAAAGATTATTTTTTAACTTGGAATAATATTAAAACAAAAGCTGAATTTATTTTCAGGAAAGTAAATTTATTTTCGATTTTGTGATAAATTGATTTAGATCTTATGTTATCAATACTTCTTCTAATTAGAAATTTATTTATTTTACATTTAGTATTAAATCGAATGTAATTTATAATTTATTGAATACGAAATAATTATACGTAAAGATAATATAAATATATTTTGGAATTAACAATGACTGATAATAATGAGGTATATAAAAGAAAGTAAATAATGATTAATAACTATAAATAAATTAAGTAATTTCAAGTTTTGTGAATGGAATTCGTAAAAAAATGTTCCATTAATAAAAAATAAGTATTGTCTAAATGACAGTTGACAATTGACAGTTGACAGATGACAGTGGACAGTTGACAGTTGACAATACCGTCAGTTACCGGTACTCATATTTTTTAAAGATAGTATTTCATTTCATTCAACAGCTTGTATTATTCATCCTTATTGAGTATTCTCCAAATATTAAAGTCAATTTTACAATTTATCATCAAGCGCATAAAAATATTAATATAAGTTAAAATAAGGATGAAAATTTAATTCAAACATTTGTTTTAATATATTAAATGTTTGAACAAAAATCGCGTTTAAAATAAAAAGGCGTTTAAACACGTTTCTCATAAATATACAAAAAATTGTTTTCAAAGTCCAGAGTGTGTGAATGGGGAACAGAGCTTTGAAAACGCCAGCAAAAAGACGAAAAAAGATCTATGAAAAACAAAAAAACTGTGCCAATTATTTTGTATGTTTGATAAATATGTTCGAAATATTAATTACTCTTTTTAAGTATCATTAGTTTATTTTTTATATCAACACTGTCTTTCCGCCCGCAGCTTCGCCCGCGTCGAGTTCGGTTATATCGCGTTTCGAAGAGAACCTTTCAAAAGTCTGGGATAAAAACTATCCTATGTTCTTTCTCAAGATCAACTCTATATCTGTACCAAATTTCGTTAAAATCAGTTCAGTGGTTTAGTCGTGAAAGCGTGACAGACAGACAGAGTTACTTTTGCATTTATAATATTAGTAGGGATTTTATAAAACCAATATTTCAGATAAACCGCGTTTTGTATTATTTTAAACTACATACTGCCGACGTTTCGGTTATTTTTCAGCAACCGTGATCACGGTGTTAAAAAAATAGGACATCCGAAAATATTACTTTCATTTAAATACTCACGAAAGTCTTAGATGTCAACTTTAGTTACCCTTTCATAACCTACAAAGGATTTCTCATTATAGGTACATATTTAATACAGTGCTATCAAAACTTTGTATCGTCAAATTACGCCAAACTTAAAGTTTGTCAGTCATAAAACAAAAAGTTTCACGAAGACTACTCGTGTTAAGATCGTAATATTTATTTTGTTCTAAATATAATCAACTATGTTTGACGTTTGAGTTTTGACGTTCCGTTAAAGAAAATTTAATATTACGTCAATATTTATAATTACAAGAATTTTTGATGTTATATTTTTGTTTTATAATAAATACAGCTTAAACTAAATGCTAAATTAATTGTTTTATAAATCTTTATATATAAAAGTCGTGTTAGTTACACTATTTATAACTCAAAAACAAGTATGAGTTTGGATGAAAATTAGTGGAGTTAGCTTAGAACATAGAAAGGACATAGGATACTTTGCGTCCAATTAAGAAAGAAAAAATTATTGAGTACAAAATCTCCTTATCTACTGTCTTTAAGGAATAAAGTTCGCCCGGTCAAAAACATTTCTAATTCTGAAAGTAACGCAGACGAAGTTACTGGCAAAAACTAGTATGAAATAAAATGAGTTAATTCATTTTATTTATTTATAGTAATATATAATTTGGTTACTCACCGCTACCAAGACGTAATACTCCAAGAATGCTGAACGTAAGAACAAGGTTGCCAACCGCCGTCACCAGAAGTAGGCAGACCAGGGTCCAGAACGCGAAGGTCCTGCGTCCCTTACTGACATCCCTGGTGACATCATTCCCGTTTTTATCAGAGTAATTCTTAACGAAAGTAGGAAGGAAAGCCTGACTGTTAGAAGGGATTGGTGTTAAAAGGGCTTTCCCGCGATTATCCAAGTGTTCCGTCATTTCTGGAGGAGACCCTCCGCTTGGGTCGGGAGCCATTTTCGTTGGGTAATACATTATATATATAGATCCGCCAAGGACGCTACGCGCACAAGCGTTTATATCGACGGAATCAATGGGGAGTTTTAGAGGATACGACACGATTTTTATGTGTGGGATACGATTTGTCGTTGGCATTAAAATTTTCAACAATATGTGAACTAATTTCTTATTTTCTTTATATATTGCAGCTGTTATTATTTTTTTTATGAAAAAGGCGGCAAACGAGCCAACAGCCTACTTGATGGAAGGTAGTCACCGTCGCCCATGGACATTTGCTACATAAGAGATGTTATAGATTCGTAGAACACTTTAATTGTGGAGGAAGGAGGAAAGGGAGGGAAATAGAAAGAGCATCCGTCTCTCTCACTCATCGGACGAAAAGCAGCCATTAAAGACTACTTCACGCCGATCTTCTGTGAGAAGATGGTACTTTCGCAGTCGAGCTAGCCCTGAGTCCATGTTCGAGCTGTAGTAACTTGACCACAGCTAGCCTCTACCATTTTTAAACTTGATTGGTTTAAATCTTTCTTATTTACTTTATAAAGATACGAGCAGGAAGACACAAATGTTTTATTTCTAAACTAGAATTCACTGAAATAATACTATGTTTCAAATGTCCATAAAATATTATTTATTAATTTTATGACAAATAAATAGTATGCAATTAGAAATTATTTTGACTGGAGCGGGATTTGGACTTCTGATTTTGGAGACTTAGAGTCCAAGTTACTTTAACGATTAATTCAGTAAATAAATAGTTAAACTTTTATATTAACTTCAATCAATCATTGAAATATTTTAAACATTTTCAATTTATTTCCTTTTTTACGAAATCATATACTTTATGAAAAAAACATTGTATATTAAAACAATTCTTTCGATTTTAGATCAAAATTTCATTATAAAAATTGTTTGTAAAAGTTTAACTAAACCTATTTCTTTCACGGATGTTGGTAAAAAGTTCTTAATTTTTCTTTATTTGAGTCGACTTCAAAACATTTATGACATTGTTACATAATATGAAAAAATAATTGAACATCGCCGGGGCGACATCTTTGTATGGCCTAAATAATGACTCAGCGGAACGAACACCAAGCGTGTGAACCAGAAGATTCCTGATACACACAAGCTATGGAATGGTATTGCTATCCTAACATCGGGTCAATCATGTAGTCTTAGGTGTAGGTTATAAGTTTTAATATGTAGTTCATTATAATATACATATAAGTATGTTTCGTAGTTTTCCTGGAATCTATGGTTGCCACCCTATATAATTACATGTGATGAGAGCAATAATATTACCTATTATAGTTTTAATAGGATAAATGAAAATAATATCAAGGTAATTTGCTGATTTAATAAAAAATCCTGATTTATTTTCAATTAAAGTAAGACATACTTTTCCTTTTATGAAATATGTATATTAATATTCAGTCTTTTAATCTAAACTTATATAATTAGAATTCTTAATAGTAACTTGTTCAATCGTGAAGTATAAAAGCACTTATTTCTTTCTTATAATTATTAAATTGATCTTTATCGTGTAAATCGTGATTTCAATATAAAAAAAACTCAAGGAATCTGTATTTAAGTTAAATTTTACATATTTTTCCGTGTACATATTTTAAAGGAATTTATTTAGGTCGCATTTCCTATGACGTCATAAGAGGATACCGAATTTTGGATGTGTTCCAAAAGTATATTGTATAACAAATGTAACCATTTTAATATAATTTATTAATTTTAAGTCTAATACATCTTTATATATCTAGAGTTTTTTATTATTATTTATCAAAAAATTGTATTTCATTTCATATTTTATCTTCTAGTAAGTAAATAATTTTTTTTAAGCTGTAATGTATTTGACATGCAATGACTTTTGAAATCATGACGGCGCTAGTTTGATTAACAGAATTTGACAATTTGCTTTGTAATCATGGCGTCCGAACGTTACAGTTTCTCTCTCACAACTTTTAGGTAAATATTTATATTAAATAATGTTTTTTTACAATAAAATTATCCTCTGGGATCTATTTATTAAGCCTATAATATATATCAAAGTGTTTCTATTTAACATACATATCCAAAATTATACCGGTGTTCGATCTTGTAGTTTACCAATCATGTTTTTAACAATGAAATTTTATGAAATTTTCGCAGTCCTTCTGGAAAATTGGTGCAAATTGAATATGCTTTAGCAGCTGTAGCAGCTGGTGGTACCTCCGTTGGAATTAAAGGTAATTATACATATATATAGGTTACTTTACTAACTTTGTTTTTACTTCTCTTTGTAATCTATTTTATACGTTAAACTTGTTACAGCGTCGAATGGTGTCGTGATTGCAACCGAAAACAAACACAAGAGCATTTTATACGATGAACACAGTGTTAACAAAGTCGAAATGATCACAGGACATATCGGTAAGAATATATATTTGTTGAAAATTACGTATATAGTAAAATAATCTTGTAGGCAGCCCTAGTAGGTTCTTTTCAAATTTGGTTATGTAGAGAGAGGAGCTTGGACGGTGGAGGTAAGCGTTTAACTCGTTAAATAGAGGTAACTAGGTAAGGTAACTCCTTAAACCTACACCTGGGTCACAAGTCACAGTCACTGTTGAAGCTCCTCTCTGTGTAATGATGGACTCCGCACATATATAAAAATGCTATACTTTAAGTAATCTGTTTGTAATATGTTTTATATGGCAATTTTTTTATCATCTACACATACACGCACACACATATGTAAAGAAAAACACATTGTTTTTCTTTAGGTTTTAGTTGCCCTTATCATTAGTCTCGCCTTATCATACTTTTTTCTGTAAACTCTATGTTCTCCACTAGTTAAAGAAAAGAAATATTTTTTTTGTAAGTGTAATTGTTTCTGGAAAAACAAAGGTAAAAATTTAGAAAAAACCAATAGATGATGGAATTAAGGAGAAATGGAAAAGCAATAAACTTTAAAAGTAGGTTCTTTGGTTACAGAGAAACACTAGATTAATTTCTTTTAGTTTATTTCCTTAAAAACAATTAAAAGACAAAAATGTTCTTATAAAATTATATTTTTATATGTATAATTCTTCTGTGAGTGTGTATGTCACTGAACTTCTCTCAAACGACCGGACCTATTATGGTGAAATTTTTTGTGTGTGTTCAAGGGGATCTGGGAATTGTTTAGATTCACAATTTTGTCTGCTGCACAATGTTTTTTTAATAAATTTTTTATTTATTAGTAGTTGTTGATACAAACATTTTTTTTTTACCTTAGATTTGACAACTAACTAATATGTCAATCATTCTGTCGCACTTCAAAACACGGAGATTTATGGCTTTAATAGGTAAACTCCAAAAATAGAAATAAAAAAACGTAACAGATATTTCTTGATTATAGGGTGATACGAAGTTCGCCGGGTCTTCTAGTATATATATATTTAAGCCCTTATACATTAAAAAATTTATTTTTTATGCTTTTTTACTGCACTAAAAACTAAGTCTTTCCCTCAACAAATACACATTTTTTTAGTATCTACATGTAGGCTCAACTTAAGCATGAAGAACAGGTGACTATCACTCATATATTTCATTTCCAGGAATGGTATACTCGGGTATGGGTCCAGATTACCGTCTCCTCGTGACCCAAGCTCGTAAGATGGCCCAACAATACTATCTGATGTACCACGAGCCGATACCCACGGCTCAACTGGTTCAACGTGTTGCTACAGTCATGCAGGAGTACACACAATCCGGGTAAAATTATTTAAACTATTTACATTTAATGATATCTAAGACTTGGGAGTATTCATTTAAATGTAACTAATATTTTTCGATATCATCAGCGGTGGCCTAGTGGTTTAAAGGCCTGCCTCTCATGCATGAGGGCGCGGGTTCGATCCTGGCAAGTACCAATTTGATTTTTCCGAGTCATATGTACTTTATAAAGGTCTTAAGACACCACTGACTGATGAAGGAAGAAATCGTGAAGAAACCTGGACTTATAATTTCACAATTATAAGTTTTAAATCACCAACCCGTCTTGAGCAAGCGTGGTGATTAATGCTCTAACCTTCTCCATGTGAGAAGAGGCCTTTGATCAGCAGTGGGCTCTGATAGGCTGATGATTAATTAATTGATTGAATATTCATTTTTTGTTTTTATTTCCAAATATCACTGCAGTTCATAAGTAATTTAAATGGTACAAAATTTTTTGAATATGTATTTAATGAAGAATGGTTTGATGTATTAGCCGGAATTGAAGCTGATGTAATGAAATCTTTAGTCAAAGTTGCTATAACAACTAAACTATTGTGTCACAAGTGTTGGTTAATTTATAACTTTGTTTTTAACCATCAAAGAGTTCAGTGGTGCCATCTGTCAATTGTTGTTACAAATCTTAAATAACATTGTTGTTAGTAATGGACCCGACACCCGCACGGTGAATACATTGAAAGCTAAGAGGTTTCGTGTTTATTTCAGAGGAGTTCGTCCATTTGGTGTGTCTCTACTGATATGTGGGTGGGACAGCGGTAGACCATACCTGTTCCAGTGTGATCCATCCGGAGCATACTTTGCTTGGAAAGCCACAGCGATGGGGAAGAACTTTAATAATGGGAAGACATTCTTGGAGAAGAGGTATCATTATATTATACTAGTTTTTGCAGCGACTTCGTCCGCGTGGAATAGTGACTTCCGGCAGATTTTTGGTTCTTCCCACATAGTTCCCGTTCTTGCGGGGTTTTCGGAATGGTCGAGTTCCCGTAGAATTTTCAGGATAAAACTTATATTTTTTTTTATTCACAATGAAGTACTCTTAACCAACAACATATTTATTTGTTTATTTGAATAAAGATTAATATTATTATGTTGATACAACTTAAACAAATTATTTCGACCAAATTAGGTACCATAAAAACGGTTTTTGTGAGTTAATCTTAAAAGATAGACATATACTGTCGCGAACTGTTTTTTAAATCATTAAAAGACCTATTATTCTTTAATACATATTTTTTGTGTATCTGGAACCGTTTTCACGGCGCACTCAACGGAAGGCTTCAAAGATGAAATAATTTCTCCCGTTTTTTACACATTTACCACTATATCTTTGCTCCTATTGGTCGTAGCGTGATGTTATATAGCCCACAGCCTTCCTCGATAACTGGACTATCCAACACAAAAAGAATTATTCAATTCGAACCAGTAGTTTCGGAGATTAACGCTTTCAAACAAACAAACAAACAAACTCTTCAGCTTTATAATATTAGTATAGATGTACATAATAAATACTCAGTTAATCTGTAGTCACATTGACATTAGCTGTATGTTTTAGATATGAGAATTTTAAATCTTAACTAAAAAGGTTTTATATGTGATATGAAATTGTTATACATACATATAAGTTATATTATATATTGCTTTTGATTATAAATGTTGGTGTTACTATTATTCATTGACTCGTGTCTGACTAGTCTTTTAGCTATAAATATATATGTATATTCTTTTTAACTTATATTAGCTTGGGCTGTATGTATGTAACTTAATCTTTGAGCACGATTTTCACCAATTTATATAAAAATACTTGTATTGTGAAGCATTTCTAATGAAAAAACACTTCATAATGATTAAACAGGTCTTCCTTACCAGTACCTATTTAATAGAAACTTGATATCTGATGAAAATTAACCACCCGACTATATATTTCAGATACACCGAGGAATTGGAGCTTGATGATGCTGTCCACACAGCGATCCTGACTCTCAAGGAAGGTTTTGAAGGACAGATGACGGCTGATAATATTGAAGTTGGTATATGTGATGCCGCTGGCTTCAGAAGACTGGAACCGGCACATGTTAAAGATTATCTCGCTAATATACCATAAAAACATTTGTACTAAAATTATATGTATTTCATTATACTGTGTTTCATTGTAGTTTGTAAGAGTATTTAGACAACAATGACTGATGAAGGAATATATATTGAGGAAACCTTGACTTATCCCTACTAATATTATAAATGCGAAAGTAACTCTGTCTGTCTGTTAGGCTTTCACGCCTAAACCACTGAACTGATTTTAATGAAATTTGGTACAGAGATAGAGTTGAAGTTGAGAAAGAACATAGGATAGTTTTTATCCCAGACCTTTGAAAGGTTTTCTTGGAAACGTGATATAACCGAACTCCACGCGGGCGAAGCTGCGGGCGGAAAGCTAGTAATTTATATATAAGTTTGAAATCACCAACCCGTCTTGAGCGAGCGTGGTGATTAATGCTCTAACCTTCTCTATGTGAGAAAGAGACCTTTGCTCAGCAGTGGGCTCTGATAGGATGATGATGATGTATCATTGTGTGAACTACCCTTTAGTTGTAATGATTTTCTTATTAAAATTAATTGAATAATATTAAGCTGTTGCTTGTGACTTTGTCTGGACTTTATTTGGTATACATGTAATGTGTAAGACAAGTTGTGTTCAGGAAGTATCAGCGATATCTATCGTCGATACGTCAGAACTATATATGAAATAGTGTTTACAATAAAATTTGCATTGTCATACTATATGGACCGATATTAGTCTCTCACTCAATAATTTATGTCAAAACAGAGAAAACTTCTCATCCCTCCATGTATTCACGGTGCGTGTGCCGGGTCCATCGTTGTAGTAAGAGGAGCTTCAACAGTGACTGTGACTTGTGATCCAGGTGTAGGTTTAAGGGACCGTGTCTAACGCGTTAAACGCTCACCTCCACCGTACAAGCTTCCTCTATCTAACCGAACAAGAATCTGCCTTGATGATTGAATGAAAAACGATATGTAGAGTGATGATTGAACTTGTAATGTTATTACTGTCTGATGTTGCTAAAACAACGAGCAATTCCGAACATTTACATAAATTAAAGGACATATTTTGTTCTGATATATGAGCTATATAAGTAGAAAGTTTCATCAAATTCTCTCGTCATATTTAACGTAACATATGTTAACATATATAAAAAAATTCATATTTTAAATATTAGAAGTACCTATAACATTTTTTATAAAAAATCTATATTTTTTTTGTTATGATATTTCATGATACATAAATATAACGCCTGCAGCATTCTTCTCAATACGTCCGTTAAAATAATTTGCTCTGTGTTTGTTCACAGGCATTACTTTGTAAAGTTGTAATAATAAATGTGGTCGGTTTAGTAAACAACTGCGTATATCCTACAATTTGCATCTTTTAACAATTAGTGTTTAAAAATATACAATCCAGTTTTAAAGATTTCGTTTTGAATCAAGGTATAGTAATATTATTTCAAGAAGGCTGAGTGTCTCAAAACTGACAATTAAATGATTTTGTTGAAATCTTTTTTATTTTTAAAAGTCTAAGTGTCTTTTATTCCAATTATTAAGAGTTTTCTTGATAATAATAACTTCTCTAGTCTCTATGTTGAACAGATTATTTGTGTAATAAAAGAAGTAGCGCCTGCAAAAATAACCGAGCAATTTCATGTTTGTGCGTATTTTTTTAAGCACATTCATTAGGCGTTGAGAATAGTGTTTAAATGATTCACGATTCTTATTCTCACACGTTAATTATTTGATAAAATCTATTTTGCTTTAAATTATAACAAGTATCTATATAAGACTGGTAAATCTATTCTCAGTTACTACAAAGGTCAGCCTATGTATGCTTAATCAGTAGAACGGAGTTTAACTGCTAAGCGTAGCGTGCATCGTGCATGAAGGGGTGTGTAATATGTTTTATCTAATCAACGCTTAGATTATATTTAAACCATCTGTTGTCTGCTACATATCAAATTAATCTTTGAATATATATCAAATGAATTTGGCATGAAAGAAAGATGTAAAGGTTATTGGTGGAGGATCTAGTTTTGTGCAAATAATTGTATTATTTTAATTTTTTGGCCTAAGCAAAACTTATTGGCTCTCATTAAACACCTTCCTTAGGAGCAAAAATGTCAATGAACAACGAAAAGTGGGTGCCAATGAACACCACACGAAGTGTCTCTTCTTCTACTTGGCAATTTCCCACCTTTAGCCAGGATCCGCCTTGCATTTTGTGAATAGTTTTACGACCGGCCGCCTGCCTGACATCAACCCTCTTTGGGAATGACGTGTATGATATATAAATCGATAGCAAATTGTTCTATGGCAAGTCCTCATAAGGACATTTCATTGAATTTTCTCCATTGGAAACAACCTCTCGTTGCCGAGGACGCGTTGCCAAACATTGTCAAGTACCAATGTGAATTTTCGGAGTCATATGTACTTTCTGAGAGTATTTAGACATCACTGACATACGGTGAAGGAAAACATCGTGAGGAAACCTGGACTTATAGTTTCAAATTATAAGTTTGAAATCACCAACCCGTCTTGAGCAAGCGTGGTGATTAATGCTCAAACCTTCTCCTTGTGAGAAAGAGGCCTTGCTCAGCAGTGGGCTTCTGATAGGCTGATACAGGCATACAGGCAAACAACATAGAAGGCATAAAACTGAGTACTCTAGAGAAGTTTGTAGATTTTATTATTATACAAACTAAATTCGCTACCAATTTCTAATTTATAAATCATATTACAGGATATGTATACTTTACTCTTTGCTTTATTAAAATGTAATAAAAATAAAAGTTTATTTAAAAACGATTTACATATTGTGAAAATTTATTTTATATAAAGTAAAGAAGTATGCATACCACAAGTTAACCGGGAAACGCATCGTATGTGTGACGATAAACTAAGACTACGCACACTGATATACATATATAGGTACTTATCTTAGGGCCAAATTTAAAGACAATAAAAAACAAGTACGATAATGTATCACGAGATTATGTACTTATTACATCAAAAATTCGAATTCCTTATTAATTATTGGTGATAAATTAAATTAGGTGATAAAAAGTTGGATATGCTTACTTTTCGTTACAATCAAAAAACTAAATAATTTTCTTGTTTCTTACTTAATAATCTTTTATTGTAATTTGAAAAAGTGTTATTTTGTACCACTCAGTTAGGATAAGATCGTTATTTGGCTCCAAAAAGGAAGAAATTCAGGTCAAATTAAAGTCCCATGGGCCTGCAAATTGCTTCATTAAACCAATTAAGGATGACCCTCATAATCTTGTGGAACACCACTGAATAGTTTTTGCATTCACCGTGATGCCAAATACAATTACTATGCCTACTAAGAAGAATAAAACTAAGAAGACTTTCCTTACAAAACAGATCTTAGATAGACGAAGGCTGGTAGCAATACTTCCATCGAATGCTACTGGGAGAGAAAGAGAGAGAAAGTATTCTCGTCTCTTTTTTCCCAGCCTCCCTCAGTGTAATGGATTATCAGGTAATGCTGAATCTCCTTTAGATCCAGTTCCTCCTCTTTAGCAAAAAAAATCACTTATACAAAACACTTTGATATAGTGACCCGGGCAAGTACCAATGTGATTTTTCCGAGTCATATGTACTTTCTAAGAATATTTAGACATCACTGATTAATGCATTCCCAAAGAGGGTTGATGTTTGGCAGGCGGCCGGTCGTAAAAAACTATTAGCCAAAACTATTCACAACATATTAAGGCAGACCCTGGCTATAGCCGGGAAATTGCCAGCTAGAAAAGAGATAGTGTAAGGGCTTCGTTATTTTATCGTGTGGCCCTGAAAGGTATATTGCAAGCACAGATAGCAGTTCTTTATATCCGATTAACAGAAATGTGTTATGTGTCCTGGCATCCTTAGCATTTGAACTACTGTCTTTACCTTCTCCAGGGGTCATTAGTTATAGACAATTCTTATAAACGTGGCCCTTTTCACCAAAGAATTTTGTCACCACGTCTATTAAAAATAAACCCGATATTATTAACTGTGGCGAAATCCTCTAGGACCTTTTCGGGCTAGACATTTAATGTGTAAGAATTTAAAGAAAGAATTTTCAAGGGTAGAGCCTAGCCGTGATACCACAGTTCGAACATGGTCTGTCTCGACCGTAAGTACCACCCTCTCACAGAAGATCGGCGTGAAGTAGTCTTTAATGGCTGCATTTCGACCGATGAGTGAGAGAGCCGGTTGCTCTTACCCTGTTCCCATCCATTCCCATATTTTCCTTATTCTGACCCTTCCGTCTTCCTCAATAACTAAGGTTCACAACGTATCTGTAACATTGGACATGTTGGGGATATCTATGGGCGACGGTGACTACTGTCTATCAATTGTGTGACATTTTAAAACTGAATTATATTGAAATATTAAATTATAATAATTTTATTAGTTATGTCAATTTTAGTGATTATTGTGTTCTGTTTTATTAATTTATTATTATTATTATTATTATTGTAATTTAAATTGAATTTTGATTTACTACAATTATTATATGTATTTTGCATGATGTGATAGCCTATAATTAAAAGGACATTTAGGTTATTATTGATAGTTTGTTAATGTAATGATTGTGTTAATGTTTTCTTTTGTTGGCTATCCAAATAAAATAAAAATAAAAGTAGGCCGCCTGCTTGTTTGCTACCTTTACATACAAAAAAATATATTATTAATGAAAAACTATTAATAATCCGTGTCGTCGCGAACTTGTGGTAATACATCAATCTTATATGACTAACACACAGATCGTTGGATCAAAACAAGAATTATAATTTGTCAGATTGTATATGTGACGTAAAACCCTCCACTTTGTACAGATATATCGTATTAGTGATGTACCCAAATCGATAAAACTGCTATCGGCAGATACGGGTGTTAACTCTTACCTATATCTTTATCGATATAATCTTGTTACGATAATCAACGGGAGTGGTATTGTATTTCCTTATTAAGAATAATTTTAAGGATATGTAACAAAAAATTCATTTAAGTATTCTTAGTGTG